GGGGGCGGGGCGGGGAGCGGGCGGCCTTGGCCTCGCCTCCCTTCAGCTGCCGGGCACCGGGCTCTGCCCGGGAACGGGGCCGGGTCGGAGCCTCTGCTCCCAGCCAGAGCCCGCAAGGGGCCCCGCCAGCCGTGAGGGAGGAGGGCGGCTTTCTCCCCGGCGCCCCCGGGCCGAGCCAGGTCACCTCATCGGCGAGGGCCGCAAAGGGCAGGGCTGGTGCTGCCCCGAGGCAGAGGGGAGCCGGCCCCCGCGGCCTCCACGGACAGGGCCTTAAGTAAGCAGAAAATAGCTTTTAACCGCTTGTTAGGGCATCTCAGAAAGACTGGGGCGAGGGGCTGCGTCCCACAGACCCCAGCCCAAGCAACCGGCACCACCCAGGTCCAGCAACAAGCGCTGGTGCTTTGGAAAGCCCTGGCCCTGGCCTAGCCCAGACCTTTTTAATATTAAAAAATGAGTATTTGAACTGCAGTTACCCCAGGGAGCGGGGGTTTCTCTCTGACCCCGTTCCCAAAGGCCGCGTGGGCTCAGGCGGGCTGTAAAACCCCACGGACAGTGGAAAGTGCCCGCACAGCACCCGACGTGGGGGAAGCGCGCGTCCGAGGGCGAGGAGCTGGCCTAACGACCGCCCCGGCGCGGTAACGGCAACGTGCTTCTCCAAACACGGGCAGAAAGGGCTCCCAGCTCGCCAGGCAAGTCCCAGGCGCTGCCACGGGCCCGACCCGCACCTGTAATGCTGCTCTTCTAACACCAAAATGCTGCTCTTCTAATTACATTTTATATCCATCTTTTAATTTCATAAATAGGTAGACAAAGGGCAGGCAAATGGGGAACCAGGTCATCCACAGCAATAGGTTTAGGGCTTCCAGGGGTTCATCCCTCAGGCAAACACACCTGCGTGGGCCACGGGGGACAAACCATGACAATATCATTTTAAAAAGATATTGCAGAGAACCAAAAGTGTTTCAGTCCTTTCCTATACTGTTCGTCTGAAGCATTGACAACTTACATCAGGCCTCAAAAATAAAATGAAATTGTTTTTGCAGGTTCAGAGATCTCAAGTAAAATCATGTTTTTCCTGTTGGTTACCAGAGCCAACCGTGCTCATGGTTCCTCCCCCGCCCCCCCAAAAAATAGCTGAGACTAGTCCCCTGAGATCACGTAACCTACCAGATAAAACTGCTGTACCTCCAGCAAATGCGTTAACATAACTGATGATACATACTATATACAACCAAAAAAAAAAAAAAAGGCACAAGAATAGGAAAAAGCCCATGGTTTTAATTCTACAAATGCTCTCTACCTATTTACAAGGTATCCAAAATATCTGCTTCAAGTCCAGCCATGGCAGCCAATTCAGCTCTTCATTACTTATTTGCAAAAACCTTGTATTTCACCGACAGCAAACCTGAGCTCAGGAACGTGCCCCTGCGCTTGGACAAGCTGAAAGGGGACTGGGGAGCAAAAATGCCTTCAGTTAACGACGACGATAACCTGTCTTGCTTCGAGGGAAGAACAAGAGACTGGAAGAGTTCAATATCCAAGTCTAAGTAGCAACAGTGGCTCAGCCCCTGCGTAGCTTAGTCAAACCCAGCTGTGCCCAGCAGCCTACCTGGGGATTTCAGCGGACGCCTGTGGAGCGCGGCTTCATTTGAACAAGGACGGGGGAGTCCAACCTCCACAGGTTATCCGTGAGACAACTGGATGCTGTTCTGCTCTAGAAAGCAATTACGGTGTTTCTCATGAACCAAAACCAGACATTTCTGTTTGAACTGTTCACAAAAAAAAGTTTAGCTGTGAACAGTAAGAAGGATGTTATAACACAAAACCTACAATATACACAACAAAACCACCACAGTGTGCCTCTCTTTTTATTCTTTATTTTACAGTTCACAATTAGAAACCTACTGATAAATTACACAGTTCACCCTCCTGTTTGGGGATTTTAAATGTTTCGGAGTCATGCTGCCAATCCTGTCTCATCCCAGGATGAGACTCAAGGTGCCACCAGGTTACACGAGGCAGAGCGGCCAAACAACCCACGCCAAACCCCTCCACAGGCCGCGCTTCACGTGGGAAGTTAACAGGCAGGAGGAATTATCCCCTAAAAACATATTTGAAATGGAAAAATATACTGGATATCATTTCAAGGGTATTTTACAGACTTGCAAATGTTACAAATGTTCTTGGGGAAAAAAACCAAACTTCCAGGGCTGCAGGTCAGCCAGGTTGTATTTGCAGGGAGCAACTACCCAGACTGGCCCTTTTTCAAGGCCTTACATCTTCAGCAATTCTCTCCGAAGCCTCCTTTTACAGAGCAGAAAGATAAGTTAGGTCCCTCCTCAGCCATGCATTTCAACATCTGCTTAACTTCGTACACAGTTACGGCCACCAATTCAGATGTTTCACCGGTGCTACCCACATCCCTGCTCATTTTTTTTCTGCTCAGAAGTTCCTAATTTCTCAACTTCTTTTTTTTTTTTTTGTCTCCAACTCCTAGTTCAACCATCTTCTCTTAAAAAGATGGCACACACTGCACAGCATATCTGCTGAATTTCAACAAGCTCCTGCAAAAGAAACCCTACGGAAAACACCAGTTTTCATACCAAGTCTAGCTGAACATCACAGGGGTGTTACAAAAAAGCACAGTAGTGCTTGACCCTTCCTTAGCCAAGTGCCTCCAAACTGAGGATCATGGTGGCACGGAGACTGAGGAGCTTTTCCAGCTGGCGCAGGCTCTCTGCTGCGGTGAGGATTGCTGGCTGCGTGCAGACCTGGACTGGCCGCTCCTTGCGGGACACAATCTAACCCAACGCCGTGGGTGAAACCCAGCTCTGCGCAAAGAACCCACACAAAGCTACCGCCTCGGCAAGGTGGAGGAAGGCAGTGCATTACAGTGGTGCAAGACCGTGCCACGGGGCATGAATTTCACTCACAGTAAGCTAAAAGGCCAAATCCAGAGACGAGGCTATGTGCACTTGCCAGTAGAAACTGGTGACAGATGAGGAATGGACAGAACGCACCATGAGCATGTATTTATAAAGAGAAAAAAAGGAGCAAATTGCCTTTGTTTTGCCATTATGAAGGAACGTTTTACCAGTTTTCTCCTTGTATCCTTCTACAGTTGCTCACCTTTGGCACAAGGAATTCTACGTATCACAAGATTTAATTAATAATAATACTTCATATCAACCCTCAGCACTTACATAGCGCTTCTCATATTCAAAGTGCTTTACAAAAGTTTGTGTGTCCTCACAACACCCCTGTGAGGTAGCTAAGTATTATTATCCCCATTTTACAGATAGGGAAACTGAGGCAGAGAGGTAAAGTGACTTGCCCAAGGCTTTACAGGGAGTTGAAACTCATGACGTAGTGGCCCAATTCTGGTCTCCCTTATGGTGGTGTAACACAGATGAACTCCCACAGAGCTATACTGGTGTAAGCAAAACAATCCAACCCCAGTTCCTCTGGCTCCCAATCCTCCGCTCCGATCAACTGACCATACCTGCTCCACCTAAACCACTGGCTCACCTTCCAAAACACTACAGAAAGTCCAGAGCGCAGCAGGAGCGAGTCTGCAACCTTAAGGCAACACATACGTTGTTAACAGCTCCATAGCTCTGCAGCAAGCTGGACTACACACAAACGTGTTTCTGCCATGCTGCAAGAGTCTTACGTCGACTCAAGTGGTCTCCAGCTCTGCATGTATCAGCGTTGAGGCTGATTCTTTTCTCCCTCAAGTTAGAATAAATCCAGAGCAAAACAATGGGGCTGCACCAGCGTAGAACTAGGACGAGATCTGAACCGGACCTTTTACCTGCTGCTTCGTAGGCAAATGCCCCTACCAATATCTTTTCATTTTGGACAGCTTCGGCATGGTTCATTTCACTCTCTCTCTCTCCGAGTTTGTATCTCTGCATATAAACAAACTTTCAACGTTTCCAGCTCATCAGCACCAGCATTTAAACAGCACCATACATCTTTCTAAGACCGATCAATATTTCCAGAAAAGTGTCAATGCATGCAAGTATCACATACAAAAAACATCAAGAGTGCTGGGAGATGATACCAAGGGTAGAGGTGATCACAAGACAGCACACATTTAGTTTTTATTAAAAATACCAAACAACTCACTCTTACTCTAACTATGCCACTTAGATGATCATTCTAACCTGCAGAAGTACAGGTACTTTTCCTCCAACTATTTACCTACCTACCTAGAAAGAAAGAGAAATAGCAAGCACACACATTTATACTTCCTCAAACTTGGCAGGCATGATTCATGTGAATGGGAAAGGAGGGTTTGGGGAGACGGGTGAGATTGTATACTGGGTTTAGGGCAGTGGAGTATGAAAGAGGTAGAAGATATCACATGCATCATTACCGTCAGTAATCAATCTGATGAAAATAAACCCCAAAATTAGATGGATTCATGTATGACATCCACTGAAAATCTCAAATCCTAAGCACACTGAAGCTGGCAAACATCTTGTGCCATTTCACCTACGTCCAGACACAGCACCAGCAAATAAGATCAAACAAACTTTGAAAAGAAAGCAAAAGGAAGAATAAACCAGCCTGGAGACGACAATCTTCCACAAACCACTTCCCTGCATTATTTTCAAATACATTTTACTCTTAAGCAGTTTCAGAAAGGAGTGGGGGAGAAAAGAGACCCACTACTATTTTTTTTAAACT